CCCCTGCCTCTTCCCCAACCGGGTACCCCTCGCCTGAGTCCCCTACCGTCTGCCTCCAAACCTGAGCTCTCCATGTCCCCCCTTCCCCTGATCTCCTGTGCCCCTTCCTCTCCCTTTAGAGATTTATTTCCACCTAACTCCTTCCTTTTTGAGTCCATCCCCCTTTCCCCTGGTGGAGGTGAGGCAGCAGCTGCCACTGTGACCTCTTCCCCATGTAGTTTTTAGAGCCCTTTGAGTCCTTTCTCTGCAATAATGAGGAGAGAGGCTGAGTGCAGTCTGTCCTCAGCCCCCAGCCTGGAGGCTAGGTAGAGGCTGAGTTAGGTGACATTAAGACTCTCAGGTCTCCCTGACCATTAATGCCCTCACCCAGGATCCCCCAGGAAGTCTGGGGCCATCCCCCTCCCCAGGAAAGGACCTGAGCAGGAAGCTTCAGCGGGTTGGGTCTGGACCTTCTTAAGGGAGTAGGTTAGTGCCCCTCAGCCTGGACTAGGGCCAGTCCTCTTCCTGGAGGCCTAGAGGTCTCCACTGTGGTTGAGTTTCTGAGCTGGACTGCCAGGGTTGTCCCAGCTTTGCTGTGTAATTGACTGTGTGGCCTTGGGCAAGTAACTTCACCTCTCTGAGCACGTTCATCTGTAAAATGGGGATAATGACACCTACCTTTTAGGGCTACTGTGAAAATAAATTCTAATTTTGCACAGTGTCTGGCATGCTGTGCATTCTCTGTAAATAGGACTCTTTTATGAGTAGTACTGAGGGCTCCACAGAACTGCTAATGGCTGCTGCCTGGAAGCAGACAACTGGGCATTCAGAGCAGGAGAGGGGGTCACCATAAGCAGGGAACAGGACTAAGAAGCCTCATGGGAGAAATGGTGGCTGAGCCTCAAAGCACAGAAGGCATTTGGAGAGGCAGTGGCCTTCCACTCTGGCCTCATTCATCAGTAACCCTCCACTGGCTCCCTCTGGAAGCAACTCTTGAGGTGTCTCTGTGAGGATGCTGGAGTGGACCTGTGCTCTGGAGCTGTAAGAGCAGCAGAGCCCAAGGCTGCCAGACAGAGCTGTGGAATGGACCATGATGGCAGGTCTAAGCCTGTATGTCTGGGTCCCTAGGGGACCAGCTTCTCTTTTCTCTCTGAGCCAGGCAGCAGCCATTTTTGGCTGGGCCCCCAGAGTGCTGAGCTGCCTTGCCCAAGCAGGCACTTGTTGTAGTGAGAAGGGGTCCCGACCAGTCTGATGTTGTTGCCAGTTGGGCTATAATTGGCAGCAGCAGCATATAGGATTCAGGTTAGCTCTGGAACAGAACTTCCTTATATGATGTCTGGAGGTCAGGCTGATGTGTCCAGGTCCTAGGTAACTTTAGAGGTTATTTTGCACCTATGTGTGTGTGTGAGTGGGGTGGGGGTGGGGTTCCAGCCCACATACCATCAATTGTCTCCTAAATTGGAGGAAATTCATAGCCCTTAGAGATGGGGCATCTGTGGGGGAGGGGAGGGGGAAGGAGGCTTCATGGGGGCTCTTTCCTCTATAGAAGCTGAGAATAGGGTGCCAGGGCTTTCCATCCTGGCACCTCCTGGTCTCTTCTGACCCTAATCACATAGGTCTGAGGTTTGCTCCTCCTGGATTACTGCCCCTGAATATAGCTTAGGAAGCTATTTGTGGCTGAGGGGAAGGGGGAGCAGTTGTGTTCTGAGCCCTGGGCCACTCTATACATTCTTTGGCCTGATCCTGGGTCCCAGGCCTCGTCCTTCCCTGGCAGGAGGGAAGGAGTGACTATGGTGTCCTGAGCCATTGGTATCCCCCGTTCTTTCCTCCCTCAGGGGGTTGATAGATTGAATATGCAGCAGAAGAGACAGACTGAGGTCAGACTGCGAGACGTTTCTAAATGAGAGAAGCTCCAAAAGTTGAAGAGAGGAAGGGGGTGCTGTGTGTCAAGCACTTTCTTTCTACATCTTTGGAGTAGTGCTTACTTTCTGTGGAACTAGGTGTATACAGGGGCTGCCCACTTCCATTTACTCTTTCTGCCTTCTACCCACCATGGTCTGTGGTGGACAGTCCAAGGCTCAGCCCCTTCCCAAGCCCTATGTAGTTTCTGTTGGACCCCCGGTGCCAGATGGCTACTAGGAAGTCTTCGTGGAGGGGGCCGTCCCAGGCTTGGGGAAGAGAATGACTTTACATTTACTTCCTCTTCCTGCCCCAGAGGAATAGGAGGTTACCCAGGGGCCTGGAGGGTGATTTCCGGGCCTCTGGGAGGATGTGATGCTGTGCAGGCTGACAGAGCCCCTCGCTGCACCTCTGCCTTTTCCTAGTGTCAGGGCCTCCCTGAGCACCTGCAGTTGCTACAAGCAGTGAGGGTCTGTTCAGGCCCTGGTATTCCCGAACAGTGGGGCCCGCCACTGTTCGTGGTTCCTCTTCTGGGTACTGAGGACTCCCCTTACCCCCATGCACACCCTCTGCTGCACCTGCCACACCCTCTTCCTCTCCTCCCCCATACTCTTCTCTCTGGGAGTGGCTTAGTGCCAAGGCTGGGTAAATGACCTTTGAAGGGGTTCCCTCTGTTTGGAGATCAACAGGGGATGGGAGCAAAGGTGGCCCCCATCCCCCAAATTCCAGGCTCTGGGTTTGAGTCAGCAGAGCTTTGGCTAAGCTGCTTAAGGGAGTTGGGCCTGTATAAGCTGCTTATGGGGCTAGGAGGTGACTGGGGGTGGGGGAAGGGGTTGAGGAGGAACAGGGAAGGGGTTGTTTGTCTGCCCCAGCACTGCCCAGGTCAGGAGAAGTCCTTGCCTCACACACCTAGATGTGACATCAAGGGCAGCTATGTGTGGGGGTGGGGGTATCCTCCAGAGAACGACTGTGTCTCCTGAGGCCAAGCTCAGGAGTCTCCTTTTAGAGTGAGGTTCTCGAAGGTGGGGCTGTATCTTCGCATCATGCCTGGGGCTTCCTATGAGACTGGAGACCCCTTTGGCTCAGAGTCACCGAGCCAGCCCTGGTAAAGCAGAGACTGGAACACGGGCCCTTAACTCCAGGGTAGGAGGGAAAATGTTGGGGAGGTGGCCTTGTCCTCTACCCTTCTCCGCCCTGCCTCCCCTGCCCCCAGAGGCCACTAGTTGGAGATGTTTGTTCCCCATTAGATCTCAATGACAGCTATGTCTCCCCCACACTGGAGTTCCTCAAGGTCAGGGGCTCAGTTCTCTCTTTCTGGAAGGCAGTGACTTTAGTGATCAGAGAAAGTAGTAGTTAGTTTGTGGTCCCACAAAAGCTGAGTTGGCAGCAGCCACCTGTCTCCCCTAGACTACCTGTGCTCCCCGGAGGAGAATATATATAAGATCGACTTCATCAGGTTCAAGATTCGGGACATGGATTCAGGCACTGTCCTCTTTGAAATCAAGAAGCCCCCAGCCTCAGGTGAGTGGCTGGGTGGGCCCTGGACAGAGGGAGGTTGGTGAGAGCTGTGAAGTTAGCCAGCCAGGGACTCCTCAGGCTGCAGAGGAGTCAGAGCTGGGACTTGGACCCCATCATTCCCAGGAGTCAGGCAGGGGGCTGCTTTTCCTTCCCATCTGCTTCTGGGATTGGACATTTTAGGACAGTCCTGTCCCTTCCGTCCCTGCCAGCCTGCCCTCTGCAGGCCTTCCTGGGAATTGCAGTCCTGGAGGCCCTAGGCCTTTGTGTCTCCTGTGGCCCTGGGAACTTCAGTTGAAAATTTTGACCTGCTGACCTAGAAACCCCAGGTGGAACCATTCAGCGAAAGGTCTGAACCCTCAATGTGCATCAGAATCTCCTTGGAGTTTTAAAAAATTCTGAGAGATGGGGGCCATGGGATGAAACCCTGGGTGGGCATGGGCCCCAGTCTGAAGCCCACTGAGCCCCAGCTGGGGTGCATTACAGAGCGGTTGCCCATCAACCGGCGGGACCTGGACCCCAATGCTGGGCGCTTTGTCCGCTACCAGTTCACGCCTGCCTTCCTCCGCCTGAGGCAGGTGGGAGCCACGTGAGTCACAGGGCCAGGGGGGCAAGGGCTGGGGGTAAGGGCTGGGTGGGAGTGAGCCCTTCCTGAGTTCTTACTGAGCCTCTCTTAGGGGCCATCTGTTCTGAATCTGGCTGGTTGACTTCAAGGCCGAGCTCAGCCCTGCCGCCTTCTCTCACTCAGGGTGGAGTTCACCGTGGGAGACAAGCCTGTCAACAACTTTCGCATGATCGAGAGGCACTACTTTAGAAATCAGCTGCTCAAAAGCTTTGACTTCCACTTTGGCTTCTGCATCCCCAGCAGCAAGAACACCTGCGAGCATATCTACGACTTCCCCCCTCTCTCTGAGCAGCTGAGTGAGTGGGCAGGGCCCTGTGGGCAAGGGGACTCAGAGAGACCAAGCTGGGGGGGGGTCTGACCCCCTTTCTTCCAACCCTGGGTCTCTTGTGTCTGGCCACCATTCCCATGTCACCTATAGGGAAACTCAGGCTCAAAGAGGTTGGGGGAATTCTTTGGGGTTGTTCAGCTTGTCCCCGTCCCACAGTCCTGAAGGCACTGCAGTGGCCTGGCTCCGGCTCCTGACCTTTGCCCTACCTGGCTGGGCCTCTCTTGTAGTCAATGAGATGATCCGTCACCCATATGAGACACAGTCCGACAGCTTCTACTTTGTGGATGACCGGCTGGTGATGCACAACAAAGCAGACTATTCCTACAGTGGGACGCCCTGACCCCTCAACTGCCCTCTACCCCAGGAGCGTCCTGGCCCTCAGATGTGACTTCCCAGCACTCACCTCTCATCTCAACCCCAGGTCTTCTGCTTGGGAAGTGTCCCAGGAGCCCTGGACCCTGAGTCAATGTTGGGAGGGAGGGTGCCTGATGTCCCCAGTCCAAGTTCATGAAGCTAATGGGACCTGGTACCTGGGGTGGGAAAGGGTGGTAGGGGGGATGTTTGCCTCCATGTCCAGGAAGGCCTCTTGTGTGAAGAGTGGCCAGGATTTCTGGACAGCCTAGCTGAGCCTCTTAGGCCCAAGTTTCAGAATAGTGTTCCCCTATCCAGGCTTTGACTAGGTTGGGGCAGGGACCCATTATCTCCTGCCCATCACTGACTGGCCATTTAGACTTGTAAATTCACAGATGAAGATCCGTGGTGGGGTCTGGCTGCCAAGCCTCCCAAGGGAGTCCAGGCCCTGTCCCCAGCCCTAGCCTCCACCATCAGGGGCCAAGATACTGCCTTGAGGTGTGGGAGGGATTGGCCCAGACTGCCACCTGAGGTAGGGGCTGGACCAACTGTATATAGTTTTCAATAAACTCTTTCTCCTTTTCTGTTCTCTGATTGTGTGCCAGCATGTGTGTCTGTTGGGGAGATGTGTGTGTGGGGCAGACAATAATGTGGTCCCCAGGTCCTCTTGTGCCCTAATCCTCTTGGTACCTAGAGTCAGCATTTAGTACATGTTGCAGCTGGAAAGCGTTTTTCCTTTGATGAAGGAGATTCAGGCTCTGAGAGGGGAAGCTTTAGGCCCAAGTCATAGCGAACCCTGACAGAAGAGAGGCTGGGATAAGGGCCCCCAACTTTAGGGTGGGAGGGAAGGTATGGGGAGGTGGTCTCGTTCTTTAATCTACCTTCTCTGACCACCTGAGGCCACTGGGACCACTAGATTGTGCTTTAAACCCTCATCAGAGAGAGAAGGTGGACAGGGCTGTGGCTAAGGCCTGGAGCCCTCTTGCTCTCAGCTGTCTTGGGAAAGCCCCCTGGCCTGGCCACCCTACATATAATACTGCTCCCAGGCCCAGAGGGGGGGTCTTCATTTCCTTAATGGAGAAAATTCAAGAACTGAGAGGAAGGTGGAGAACTTATCTCAGAGTTCACACCCTACCGTTCCAGGCACTAGTTTGGATACTCCTGGTGCTAGTCGTCTCTGGACTGAGTTAAAGCTAAACCCTCAGAGGCTTAGATGCACTGGAATTCAGCTGGCTCCCATGGAGCCCTTGCTGGGGGCCAGGACCTGGGCTGGACTCTGGGAATTGTAAAGCGAATGAGACACAGGGAACAAATACCTGTCTCTAGAATAAGATGGGCTGGGCATATAGGGGAACAGGGGTTGACTGCTTAGAGGGTCCTGGGGAGGAATCTTGGAGGAGGCAGCGTTAAAACAGCTTGAAGACTGTTCCAGAACAACTTTGACTGGAAGAGATGGGGGAAGAACATTTAGGCTCGGAACAGCATCAAGCAAAGGTCTGGAGGCAAGATTTAGCAGGTGTAGCCAAGAGAGTGGATTCATGCTGTGAAAGGCAGACAGACCTGCGGAGCCTTGTTCAGGCGTTGAGGCTTCTCCTGAGGAACACGGGGGCCACTGAGGAGGATGACCTGGTCAGATTAGTGAAGGGTGGATTGGAAAGAGTGAGACTAATAATAAAACTTAATATATATTGAGTGCTGAGCCCACGGCTGGGTGCTTTATATGTGTTGATAGGATGCTCACAATCATTTCTGAGGAAGGCACTGTTAGGCTCATTTTGCAGAACATGCAGGCCCAGAGAGGTTAGTTTGCCTCGCCAATGTCATAGCTAAGTGGCAGTGTTCAGGGGGAGACTGGAAATTTGGGCACTAAGACCAGGAACGGGATGAGGGCTGGCGATGGTGATGCCTGGAGGTCATTGGTCACAAGGTGATTGCTGACACTGTGATGATGGCTGAGATTATGGGGTCCCCAACTGGCACTACTGGTGTTAAGTGAATGGGGGCAGAAATGTCAAATGTCCTCCAGTTAATGGGGTGCTCAATGCTAATAGTCCACACCCCCAACTGAGGGTCGCTGAATGAGAGTGTGTAACCCTGAAGATCAAGGAGCTTTCGAGAGCAGGCCAGACGGAGTGAAACTAATAATGGAGACAGGAGGAGCAGCCAGAGAGATGGGCACAGGAGTCTGTTTTAGAGCAGGTTATGTTAAAGCAAAGGCAAGAAAGAATTTCACCAAGAAGCAGGTGGTCAGTAATTGTCACCAAGGTGAAAAAGGGGCATGGGGTGAGAGGGGGGTGTTGGTTTACAGAAGATGCTGTGTAAGTATAGAAGTATTTGGAGTTGGAGGTGTTTACGGGGTTATGAGAGAAGTTACAGTGAAGAAGTGGGACTTTTAGGCAGGCGTCAGGAAGAGGACCCTCTTCTAGCACCTGATAACAGTTCTCACTGCGCCCGCTAAGTCCAATTGGGTTGAGGTTCTGGATCGGGCTTGCAGCACTTCCACCTTCAGACAGGAAGGATGCCCCTCCTCTGAGGCCTTCATCCCTGGAGCAGGTGCCAGGTTGGCACTCACCCAGAGAGGCCTGTGTCCCTTGGCCCCCTGCCCATTTTAAGTCTTCATGTCTCTGGCATTGGTCCTGCTGCTAATGGTGCAACTTGCTACATTTGGTTCCTGGCACTTTCCCTTGGAACCTAAGGGATTCCTGGGCAGTAGAAGAGGAAGGCGGGCCGGGTGGGGCTAGTCTGGCTGTGATATGATGAGCTGGTGACTTTGAAGGTTGATTTGACTGGGCTGGATATGACCATGCTCAGATTCTGTCTCTCTGAAGTCAGCCAGATATTTTTGCTTTGACTCCTAAGGGATGTCACGAAGGCCTTACCACTGGGTTGAGCAGGAAAGCCCAAATGCTAGAGGGAGACAATCTGCTCGTGCCCACCCCGGCTGGCCTGCAGGGTACACTTTGGGACTGCCAAAGCTGTTGTAAAATACTGAGTTGTTTCCCTTCCAGCTGGTGAAGGGCTGCTGTCTCAAGCCCGTTGGGCCTTCCCTACTACCCGGCCCATCCCCTAAGAACCACCCTCCACTTCCCCACCACCTGGTAACTAAAGCAAGGGTGCTTGACTTTTTTTGTGTCGTGGACCCCTTTGTTACTGTCTACTGAAGCAATATAGACAATAAAAGGTTTTTCTGTATGTAAAATATATTGTAATCCTATATTTTTATGTATTAAAAACCATAGTCACCTCTATCTATTCTGCAATACCTGTAATGTAATATGAAACATCTGTGATTTCTCTTCCTAATGGCAAAGAGATTCTGCTGAAGCTATTGTTATTTGTTGCTGACACTCATAATCAAGGGAAATGCTAAATTTAAGGTAGAGATGAGTAAAAATGAAGGTATAATTTCTTTATCTAAGTTCATTGGACCCATGAATTCTAACCAGTTTTAAAACCTTCAGGTTTAGGGGCCCTGAACAAAAAGGATAATTTTCCCCAAAGGGACTTCCAGCCCCTGCATCCTTTCAGACTTGCTCACTGCAAAATGGTGGTTGAACACTTGGCACAAGGTGGCCAGCAGGGGGCAGCATATGAGCGGGCATGTGGGGCTCAGTTCAGAGAGGCACTGTTGCCCGGTTTTAAAAGTCTAAGGGCCAAACCTGGTAATAAACAAAGATGAGACTTAAAGTCCTACCTGTCTGCTACCTGTCTTAGCTGTGTGCGGTCCATTTCACTCACAGGTGTGATGAATGGGCCTGTGGGACAGAGGTGTGACTGAGGAGCCCTGGAGATGCCCTCTGCTCACCCACTAGGCTGGAGGTATAGAGCAGGTCTGTCTGAGCCCCCAGGATTCAAGAGTCTGAGGCAAGTAAGTAGGTGGTTCCAGTAAAGTTCTCTCGTGAAACACTTGCCTTGTTCTTGGGGGCTTGGACATCAAGACCCAGGCCCAAGGTTGGTCAGAAATGGGGTACAGCATCACCTGGGGGCTTGGCATTGACCCTTCACCCCCCTCCTACATAGCCAGGACTGGGCTGGGCTGGGTTGGTCTTCCTCTTGGGTGCACCAACTGGCCATGCCTTTCCCCGCTCCTCACCCCACCCTGTCCCCTTAGGCCTGGACCCAGCCTTAGAGCCTCTGGTAGGGAGGTACTGACGTAGGGTGGGGTTCCACTATGAGATCTTTGCGGAGCTGTCCTCTGGGGCAGGCAGGTGATGGTGGCCGGCCCTCCGGCCTGGACCCTGGAAGAACTTTCTAAGCATAGGCTTCACCTGTGGCTGCTGTGACACTGAGGCTCATGCATGTGCTTTTAGCTCCTACATCTTCCCCATCCCTGTTCAGGCAGAGTGTAGGGCTGCCTCTCAGGCTGCCCTTTGGTGACAGCAGCCTGCCTGGAGGTGGCACCTGAGAGGTAAGGCTGAAGTGAGGACGAGTAGCCCTCCTGATCCTCCAGGGACCATCTTCCAGGGCCAGAGGTGCATAGCACCAGGCTATGCTCTGTTCATGTCACCTGTGGAACCCAAGACCCCAGCCAGGGAAAGATGGGGGCAGGAAGGCACAGCCTGGACAGGGAGGTGACCCCTTCTTGTGTGAGGAGATGAGGGTTGCTGGTGTGGGGGGGTCTCCGTTGGAGGGGGTACGAGGGGAGGGCATCCTCTCCCTTCCTCTGGGCAGGGCAGCTGCTTCTCCGCATCCCTTTGGAAGTTGTCCCAGGAAGAGACTCCACCCACCTGCCCCCTCATCCTCCCAGATGCTGCGCAGTCCTGGGTGAGGGTGGGGTGAAGTCAGCGCAGCCTGACTGTTCTCCCTAGTGAGGAGAGGTCGAGAAAGGAAGACTCCGTAGCTGAGACCACAAGGCACTTGCTTTATTGTTCCAGGACAGGGGACAATGGCAGGCCATTGAGGGATCTGCTTATGCCTCATCTGAGGCTAAACTCATGGGGGTGGGGTGTCATCCCCAAGCCCAGGATGGGCTGAAGCTCCCACTTGGTGGGGGTTGGGCTTTCAGGTAGGGCATCGCAGGCAACTGGGCCACAACCCCTAGCTCCAAGGGCATCCTGGGTCTGCCAAGCAGTCAAAGAGAGGGGACATGGGTGCTCTCCCACCAGCCTGTGCCAGGCTTCCCTCCCCTGAATGCCCAGTCTGCCTCAGGCAGTTGGAAGTAATTAGTAAGCTGGGACCTAAACTACATGAACTTATAGAGAAGGAGGGAGACTGTAGTGACTTGGAGGGGCCCTTCCTACACCCAGGACTGGGAGAAGAGGACACTTTCAAGTTTCCAAGGGTAGGGGCTCTTCCAAACACTTTGTGTCGGAATTGGGCTCAGTTTGGGCCTGGGGTGGACATGGCCCCTCCTGTGTGTCACCCTGGGGCTAGACAGAGTATATGCTGAGGGTGGGTAGAGCCTGGTGGAGTCAGTGCTGCTGAACAGCAGCCCCCTGGGGAGTCCCCTGGCAACTGGGGAGAGGCCCCATGTCTCCTCCTCCCTCATGGGCTGCTGGAATGAAGATGGGGGAATAAATACCGGGACTTTGGGGAAAGATCATGCCTGGAGGGGGCCAGGCCCGAAGAGAATGTGGACATCAAAACAGTGTTCA